CTAAAGACACTCTAGAACCAACGTCGAGCGTAATAAATGAATGTACCAGTGGGATTTCACAAGCGGCTAAGGTACATAATTTTTATTTTTGGTTAGATAATCTACGTTCTACTGTATATCTATTGACATATTGTATATACAGTATAGTGTACAATTTATGACCGTCAACTTGTTGATTGGGGTTCAATCGTTTAGTTGTAATCGTTTAATGATAATATAAGGATAAGAAGACGTCGCACCCACATGTGTTATCTCCGTGGTTGCGACATCTATGAACAATAAACAAAAATAAGAAAATTTACAGCTACATTATGTTGCCTATGTCTATATTTTTAAGGGAGCTTTAGCAGCAAACGGAGCCATAAAAAAAAGTTGTTACTAAATTCTATTTTTTTTATTTATATGAACTAACTACCAAAGTCAAATACTTTTTATTTATATACATTTATATTTATATTTTTTATTTATATGAACTAACCTAACTTAAAGTCAATAACTGTTTTATTAATACATTTATATCAATTGATTTTTTACTCCACCTATACATGATTATTATATTATTATTTATTATTTATTATATTACTCGCACAGACAACTACTGGCATAGGAACTAGTCATATTAATCCAAAACTTAACGCCAAAATAGTCTTAAGCCAAAATAACTATACGCCAAAATAGCCATACGCCAAAATAGCCATACTCCAAATTGGTTTACTCCAAAGTGGCCACGCCAAGATGTCCTAGATCGCCTTTTTAATGAATGTTATCGAGGTGTGATAGTCGATAGATAGTACCTAGCTATCGTAAAAGTGGCTATACCAAAAGTTATTTATAAAACACATTAGTGACTGTTTTGACATTTTTAAGCCTTCATCGCCAAAACAAACATAAACTGGTAAGTTATTATAATATACATGTACTGTTATGCTGCTATTTGCAATAAGTTACCTACATGGTTACCTATTTGGTACAAATTAAAAAACAAGTACCTATTTATTAAAGCTAAAATTGATTTTATTATTTTTGCCATTTTTTTCATTTTAGTATAAATGAAAAAAATCTGTCTTACAGTTCTATTAATGACACTAATGACAGTGAAAATTATTCTTTGACTTCAGGTAAGTATATTATCAAATATTATTTTATTAGATGTGTACCTACCTATACATAAATTATTTAGTGTAAAAGTGCCAACCTCCTTTCAATATATTGTATCAACTATTCTAGTAATCCCATAAAATGTATAATCACTTATTTAAATTTATCTTGAAGCTTTCTTGAAAATAAATATCCAAAAATATTTTAATAATTTTTGGATTCTGAGTGGAACGATGAATGTATTGATTTTACAATGATGTGTTTTATTTTTTTTATTATTGTGTTTTATTTATTATTTTTGTAGAAAATACAGAAGTCTTGATCAAATCCTCTTGGCTATCTAGTTGTAACCAAATTTTTTTTTTTAATTTCTATAAATATTATAAACCTCCAGTTTACTCATCTACACATTTTAAATTTGTCTAATCAGTTCAAGGAAAAGTATTTATTTTGGCATTGATGATAAAAAATTGCCATATAAATACTGTACCTTGAATTTGTTATGACTTATGAAAACTGATCGTTGAACATTGCAGATCGCAGAGCTTAGTGTTCAGAATCTTGAAGTCAATGTTTAATAAGTCAAATCAGTAATCACTCTATTATATCAAAACTAAACAGTACACTATTGAAACTAGTGAACGAAAATGTGCCATGTAGCAAATGTGTAAGACGGAAACAACAAATGCATGGGTAGCATCCTCTTAAACATCTAATTTCGTCCAAATTTGAACAAAAAATAACCATAACAAATTTTTAAATTTTTAGATTTTTCAGTTACAGAATAACTTAGACACCTGGAACCTTGTTTTAAATGTGCCATCTTTACTTATAAAAGTTGAACTTTTTATAAATTGTTCACTACAAAATCATTTTAGATTCTGAGTAGAACGATGAATGTATTTATTTTACAATTATGTGTGTTTTTATATTTTTTATTTTTTTTATTTTTGTGTCTGTGTACAAGATAAGTAATCGAAATAATGCTTCGATATTCAACTTCAGTATCTTGTTCGATGGGAAAGTGATTATTATTGGTTCATTAGGGAGGTCAAAATTTAAAATTCCCAATAATTTTCAAAAGCGCCCAGAAAAACAAAATAAAAATTAAGGAAAAACAGGAATTTTTACGTAAAATCGATTTTTTTAAAAAATCGATTTTGGTTTTTGGTGTAAAACAAATGACCGTCGATCCATGAAATTTTCACTGGTAGTTTATATTTTTATTTCTATACATGATAAAATTTTCAAAATATTATGTTCTGTTTTGAACTGTTTGGGAACATTTTCATTTTCCATTTTTTTTTAGTTTTTTTTCTAAAAATATGATTAAAATTTTATTTGTTGGTTAAAAAGCTTGAAAATTTAATAGAAGGCTCCTAGGATATTGTTTCAAAGGCAGATGAAAAATATAAAAATCCACAGTCACAGTTTTTTTTATAAAAATTGACAAAATATGGAAAAATAAAGAAAATTAACAAATTATTTTGAGTAAAGAATTCGAAGAAAATTTTTCTTTTTAAATCTATGATTTTAAAATGTAATACAATATTCCTTATAAGATTTTCTACCTTTATCAAAAAAAAATGTATATAAGAATTTCAAATTAAATTTTTATGAGCGTTTGCAATTCAAATTTTTACAACATTGGATATTCACTCGATTTCTCATGTAGCGATTTCCTTATTTTGTTGAAATTCAAAAACGAATAACTGTAGATACATGAAAATTTCACTGAATGTTTATATTAGTATTTTCTATGCAAAAAACAATTTTGAAAATATTTTGACTCTTTTTGAGCTGTTTACGGACATTTTTTTTAGTTTTTTTTTTCTATAAATATCAATAAAGTTTTATCTGTTGGTCCAAAAAGTGTAAAAATTTAATACAAGGCTCCTGATATATTGTTACAATATCAGTTGAAAAATATTAAAAATAAAGTCACAACTTTTTTTTATAAGCATTTAAAGATCGAATTTTGACAAATTGTATTAAATTTAAAATTGAATAATGATTTTGTATTTAAAAATTTATAAAATGTTCAATTTTTATAACTAAGGATTGAAAATTTAAAACAAGATTCCACGTAGGTAGTTAATTCTGTTAACAAAAAATCTAAAAAATACATAACCACAGTTTTTTTTTTAGTCATTTTAAGTTCAAAATTGGACGAAATTACATATTAATAAACCTAGAATAGGTAACTATTTTAGTTATTTTGTTGTGATTGTATAACACCATAGATATGTATATAATATGTCTTATACCTAGACTGATATACCGTCTCCGCTCAGAATCGTTTTTCTTATACAATGAAATTGTATCATTGAATTAAAATTTAATACCATCCATTATACAGTGTTCCACTTGTAACCCACTGTCGAGCAGAGCACCTTTTTTATGTTAAATATTATAATATTTTAAAATTGTTAATATTTTACATTTTGAAGGGTTTAAGTCTTCAAGAGTTTAAACTCAAAGAAATTAAAATTTCGTTTCCTGTTAACTTCATGAAGAATTCCAATATCTTTTAGAAGTTTTATACAATTGTCAATTACTACAATAGTTGAAATAATATATATATAATATATATATATATATATATCATTTTTTGTAGAAAATATACAGACGTCTTGATCAAATCCTCTTGGCATATCTAGTTGTAACAAAATTTTTTTTTTTTTTTTAATTGTTATAAATATTACAAACCTCAAGTTTATTCATCTACACAATTTAAATTCGTCTAATCAGTTCAAGGAAAAGTATTTATATTTGGCATTGATGATAAAAAAATTGCTATGTACATACTGAACCTTGAATTTGTTATGACTTATGAAAACTGATCGTTGAACATTGCAGATCGCAGACCTTAGTGTTCGGAATCTTGAAGTTAAATGGTTAAAAAAAATATGATGTTTTAGATGTCATGAAGTTTTCACACTATAGTGTTTGAAAAAACTAAGTTAAGATGTTTATCGATTAGTACTCAGCGGTGGTGTTAAAAATAGGTGGTGCACAAAATAATAACTAACAAACATTTACTATGAAATAACATGTTTTTACTGGTTTAAATTAATGTATCTTATTAATAATAGATATGTAAGTCATTTATTTATCATAACTTACTTATAATTTAAATTTAATTTTTCATAGTTAAAAATTTGTCTTGTACCTATGTAAAGTCGAGTCTTCTCTCTTTAGATTCGGCAAAAACGTTTTAATAAATAATAATATTCATATAACGAGGTTTTTTTCGATTGATAACTTCTCTAAACTTGATAACCTGTCTTTGGTAAAATGACGAGTAGGTATATTGCCGAGATTTTTGTTTTGTAACTTTTATTAAATTTAAATCCGGCACAGGTCTTCCCAATGTTTTTATTTAAATTTTTTGCTCATTTAAAATTAAAATGCACTCAAATACTGAACAGCTAAGGCCCGTTTCACATGAACGCGTATCATACGCGACGTATCGTACGCGCGCGTTTTCCATTTTACATTGATTAAGTTCATACGCGCCAAACCGGCGAGGGAAACGCGCCATCGTCGGAGTGGCGCGTATGCATTTGACCAATGTAAATTAAAACGCGCGCGTACGATACGTCGCGTATGATACGCGTCCATGTGAAACGGGCCTTAGAACTAATGAAGCATCTTTGATTGAATTTAACTACCTACGTAGTACAGTAGCGATAAATTATGAAGAGTTAATGTGTAAAATGTATATGTTGCAATATATTTACATTAGTTCTTAAAATATTATTACAGGTACAGTGTGATCGAAAAGTCGCGCACACCAAAATAGAAATGTTTCTAAATAGCAGTTTAGATAAATTCTTCTTATCGGTTATTTCAAAATAACACTTTGGGTATTCTCCACATGTCATACATCCAATAGCACAATGAATTTTTTACGTGAGTTTTTTGGCGAGCGCATCATATCCAAAGGATTATGGCCTCCCCGTTCTCCCGACTTAACACCTCCAGATTTCTTCCTATGGGGTTATCTTAAAGGAAGGGTTTATAAAAATAGACCACAAACATTGGATGAACTGAAGAGTAACATAACGATGGAGATAAATTTAATCAATGTGAGCGTATTGCACAAAGTGGCCACAAACGTGGTAAAACGGGTTCGTGCATGCATTAATGAACAAGGCAGCCATTTTGAGTATATGTTATAAAACATGTTAAATGCATATTTATAAATTAATTTGGAATATTTCTGTATTTGTGTTTATAAATAAAAGTAAAATTAATTCAATAAAAATACTATTAACAAACACATTCATTTTGATGTGCGCGACTTCTTCTTGTATATGGTATAGTGTGTGTGTAAACTATTATTAAATAATACTATTAATGCAATATATAACTATTATAATACTTATAAGAACGGTTCGGCTAGCCACATGATTGCTTGAAGAAAAATACTAACAGTCTTGTAAAGAATACTTTTATTTTGTGTTCGGAATACATATTCGAATAAATAAGAATTAAAGTATTCAGAATATGTATTCGAATAGTTCTTAAAAAAATATATTAAAAATACATATTCAAATACTTTAAAAAGTATTCGAATACTATATTAGAATACATTTTTGCCAGTTGTTGAATGGTTGGTAATACTAACATAATATATTAATTAATAATTAAAAATACATTGTAATCATAGTAATCATAGTTATTTATACATTTTGACCACTACTATTTATCATTGTTCTTGTTTGTTTTACATATTTATTTATATACACATTAATTATATTATAATATAGTACTTATGCATCGTATACTATTTTCGTATAATCGTACTATTTATTCAATCTCAGAGGGCAGAGGCTCGTGAACTCGCGCTAGTGCAGTATCTTGCTGGACAAACTAATAATGTAACCGTGGTTATATGTATTTATTGTTTAATATATATGTAAATGGATTATGATTTACGGACATGCCTTTGCCTTGATGCAGTGTTATTGGTTTCAGATATGTTATTTTGTACTTTTGTCAGTTTTATTTTTGCGTACCTACTCTATTATATTAATTTTTTATTTGATTATTAAAAATAAAAATTAGGTACACCTACACCTACACCTACACCTACACTATCTTTTATTGACTTTTGAAAAAAAAACATGTCTAACAGATAATTTGTAAGTGTTGCCTCTAAAAGACGGAGAAAAATGTTCAAAACAATGAATTAAAAAAATATAAAGGATTGATGAATAATTTTGTATTCAATTCAGGTCAGGGACGGCGCGAGGGGGGGGCAATCTGGGCAGTTGCCCCAGGCCCCGCGATTTTAAAATTATAATTAAGGCCCCGCAGTTCTGAAACGATTTCTACTGTTCAGAGCTTTTACTGAATTTCCAAAATTTTATTTATTGAAATTATAATTCGTAATAAATTATTGAATGGGATGCGGGATGGATATTTTTAGACGTCAGTGGCGATGGCCATATCGGTGGTGGTGGTGGCCGGGAAGTCTGTCCGATGGTACGGGTTTCATTGTATTCTTACTTAGTTACAACTTATAACTATTATAAGGTATTATTTTTAATACTTTTATATACGTTTCGCCGTTTCGGTTTTTTACGATAATCAATATTTTATTGCATATTACACCACTAGTGACACTGGTGTGCTGCGTGTGCCTGTGGGCTGTGTGTGTTTTTGTCTTTCGAGCATATGAGTCGGTAGCTGGTGATGTGTTTTTTCTTATTGTGTTATTAATGTATAGAGCTAGGATTTTATTAATGACATAAATAATACACAAAAATGAACTTAAAAAATGACCAAAAAATGTACTTATATAGATGAGCGAAAAAAATGTGTCTTTAAAATAAATATTATTATTTTACCTATACTACAACACTATTTAAAAAAGCTGAAAATAAACAAAAATTAGTTTAAATACATCAAAATGAACGTACAATTTGTAATATTAAGTAAAAATGACCTTCAAAATGCAAGAAAATGCAAAATAAAAATTACACATACTAAATTGTTATATCACGAAACAAATTAAATTTTGTTGTTAGAACTGTATAGCACTTAAAGAAAAAAAATGCAAAAGTCACCAAAATCCTAGCTCTATTAATGTGGAATTGAAAGATTATTCAAGATTATTATTATTTATTAACAAATAATATTTAGTATAAATATTTAGGTATTGCCCTTAGAATTTTACTGACAATACCAGTAACTTCGGCATGTCCCCAGGGAAGCTTTTCGAAATTGAAATTAATTAAAACATATTTGAGAAACAAATTAAGTCAAGAAAACCTTCCTAATTTCAATCGAAAAAAATATTTGTGAATCTTTAGATTACAATGATATCATAAATCAGTTTGCTGCTAAAAAATCAAAAAAGTAATGTTTTAAAAATATGTATATTAATTGTATGACTAAATAGTAAATATGTAATCAATAATTTGTATTGTTTGTTCTTTCTGTTATATTAATTACATTAGAACATTTTTTTTAGCTAATATTATATTTCTATTACTTTCTATGTGTTTATACATGTTATAAAATAATTTTATAATATTTATTAAAATATAATAATATATCATGTATACAATTATGGTTGATAATTGATAAAATTGGTTTAGTAAGTACCTAATTAGTTTGGATAATATGTAATATAATTTTCGGACGGATGAAAGAGAAAAAAAATTGTATTTACCTTTATTATTCAGAAGACCACACAATACACATAGACTGTTATTTATTTTGCCCAGAGTCCCGCAAATCCTAGCGCCGTCCCTGATTCAGGTAACCAGGGCCGGTTATAGGCGTAGGCGACGTAGGCACAAGCCTACGGCGGCAAAATTTATAACTATATAGAGGCGGCATATAAGAAAAAATCAAATATCTTATTTTTCACGTTTATTTTAGATTTTAACAAATTTCAAAATACAATATACAAACATATTGTGTAGATCGATAAAACTCCAAAACAATATTCAATAAAAATAATACAGATAATTTTTCCCTGAATTGCGATAACGTCTCAAAGCATGTTGTGCCATTACAATTTAATCGATAATAATTCTATTAGCGTTTTTGCAATTGGAGACTGTTGTGTGTCATTCACTCTCACTGTACAGTGTAGTGTACTAGTGTAGGTACATTCTTTATTGAGCTCAACAATATAATTTTTTTATAAATCAAGACATATACGATATACATCTATCAAGACTTCATTACACAATAGGTAAGTAATATAAATATAATATATTTTTAATTTACTGTTAATCATTATTGGTACCTATAGCGCGTAAATTATTCAATAGTATACGGTCGCCGTTATAGTGAAACTGCCGCCCGACAGTTCAATCATAATATTATGTAAAATGGTTAGGTTATGGTTTGACGGATGGCCGGAGGAGGCCAGGGAGAATAAGCTGCGTATTATAGACGCTATTGAAACTGAGTTCACGACAGTAAATAATATTGCCGTATCGCGCGTCGTTCTTAGTCTTCTTCATAATTGAATGTATTTTTATTTATTTAATAAATTAGAACACGTTTACTACAGGCATAACATCTTCTATCTGATATTTATTGTATTTGTAATTATTTTAAAAATGCAAAAAGACCAAATAATAGAATTTTTGTTAACTAGTGGTTAATTAACTATGTAATACTGTTATATAATTAGTTTTTCTTGTCCGTTGTTGTATGGAGTTTATGTTAAATAATTAAAAAATAAAATAATATTAATTAATTATTATCTTATTTATTCAGATATTATGGCTGATGACATAAAAAAGCGTAAACGATTATCAGGTTCGCAATATTTAAAGAAAAGACTAGCACGGGAGAAAGATTTAGTTAAACAAAAAGGTAGTTTACTGAAATTTTGTCAACAAAATAGTCAAGCAAATGTTATTAATGATAATGATACTGATGACAGTGAAGAAAATAGTGGAAATAAAAATATTGAAGATCTAAGTATGGGCGAAGTTGACAATAAAAAAAAAGAACATGACAATGAAAGTAAAGAAGAGATTAATATAACTGAAAAGAATAGTGCCAATTTAAATATTAAAGATATACATGATATAAGCAGCAGAAAAGCTGATTTTGACTCTGAAAATGAAAACAAGAAAGAGATTGCTATAAGTATTATAAGTGAAGAAAATATTGAAAATAAAAAATCTTGTAATTATGATGAAAAGTACACCAATTTTAAGTCTCTTGATTTTGATGACCCTAATAAATGGCCCTCTATCGATGATAAATTAAGACTTTATTTAATAGAGTGTGGACCTCGTCAAATAAATATGGAAACATTTCCTATTAACACTAGTGGTAGATCATTTTCATCTTTTCACTATTTTCGACGTTTACCTAATGGTGAATGTATTAAACGTTCTTGGATAATTTATTCTAAATCAAGTGATTCTGTGTTTTGTTTTTGCTGCAAATTGTTTAATATTGGAGTAGTATCTCTTACAACCAATGGTAATAATGATTGGAAAAATATATCAAATATATTGAACAGACACGAGACGTCAAATTCTCATAAAAAGGCATATCAAAATTGGAAAGAATTAGAAACAAGGTGTAAACGTGGAAAAACTATCAATAATATCAATGAAGCTAATTTAAAAATTGAGACAGAACATTGGAAAAATGTACTTAAGCGAATTATAGAATTGATAAAAACACTTAGCAGTCAAAATTTGGCTTTTCGGGGAAAATCAGATAAACTTAATACTTCCAATAATGGTAACTTCTTAAAATTTATTGAATTTTTAAGTAAATTTGATCCAGTAATGAAAGAACACATAAGAAGAATATCATCTCAAGAAATTCATTGTCATTACTTAGGAAAAGACATCCAAAATGAAATAATTCAATTATTGACGAATAAAATAAGATCTCGCATCATAACTGCATTAAAAAATGCAAAATATTATTCAATCATTTTAGACTGTACACCAGATATAAATCATACAGAACAAATGACTGTCATAGTTAGATTCGTCTCAACTACTGAAAACGAAACCACAAGTAAAATAGAACACGTTTCTATAAATGAACACTTTATCGGTTTTATAGAATTATACAATACTACTGGCTTAAATATGACTGAAGTTATTCTTCAAAAACTGAGAGAATTAGATATTTCATTAGATGACATGAGACTATGAGAGGCCAAGGATACGACAATGGGGCTAATATGCGTGGATATAAAAGTGGTGTTCAAGCTAGAATTCGAAATCTAAATTCAAGAGCTTTTTACGTGCCATGCAATGCACATTCTTTAAATTTGGTTTTGAACGATTCAGCAAATTGTTGCTTAGATGCAGTTTTATTTTTTGATATTATACAAGAAATGTATACATTTTTTTCAGCATCAACACAGAGATGGGATGTTTTTCGTAAATATGTTAAAAATCTTACTGTAAAACCATTAAGTGCAACTCGATGGTCTAGTAGAATAGACGCTATTCGACCAATTCGATTTCAAACTGCTGAAATTTATGATGCACTGGAAGAAATATCAGAAGACACTTCACTTACGAGTGTAACTGGCGTTCGAAGTCGTTCTGAAGCTAAAGGTATAGCTGAAAAATTAATAAGTTTCAAATTTTTATGTAGTTTAGTAATTTGGTATGATTTATTATGCGAAATTAATGTCACTAGTAAACTATTACAATCTATATCATTAAATATTATCGAATCAATCAATCAGATAAACAATACCAAAATATTTTTACAAAAATATCGTAGTGATGAAAATTTTGAAAAAATACTTACACAAGCAAGTTACTTAGCAAATGAACTTGGTGTACAAGATAGTTTTTCGTTAAATCAATTTCGAACTCGACGTAGAAAAACTCATTTTGATTACGAATCTCGTGATACTCCTATAACAGATCCTAAACAGAATTTCAAAATAAATTTTTTTCATCAAATATTAGACAATATGCTCCAATCAATAAATGACCGATTTATTCAACTTGAAGACCATAGTAAATTATTTTCATTTCTTTATAATATTTCTAATGTAAATAATTATGAACATTTAATGAAGTGCTGTAAAGATCTTCAGCTAGCACTTTCTTCAAATGACGGTTTAAATTCTGATATAAATTCTGTCGAACTTTGTGAAGAAATAAATACATTACAAAAATATTTGCAAAATGAAAATGATCCAAAAGCAATTTTACAATTTATATGTGAAAACAAATTAATAGAATTATTTCCTAATGTATACGTAGCTCTAAGAATTTTATTAACATTACCAGTAACTGCAGCTTCAGCTGAAAGAAGCTTTTCAAAATTAAAAATTGTAAAGAACTACTTAAGATCACAAATTTCACAGGATCGTTTAGTTGGATTGGCAACAATTTCAATTGAAAATCAAATTGCGAATGATCTTGACATTGACGATTTAGTTAAAGATTTTGCGTCAGCAAAAGCAAGAAAAATACATTTTTAAAAATTATAACTAAATATTGTATTTCATAATAACTATTGTAATACCTTACAAACAATCCATGTACTATTAATTTAGTAATTTCTTTTTTATTATATAATAATTGACAAGTGTAAAAAGTTTTTAATTTTTTTGCTCCTACATAATATGACATTTATCTATGTAAGTTATAATAAAATAAGAGGCGGCAATTTTGATCTTTGCCTACATATAAAAAATTGCTTGCGCCGGCCCTGCAGGTAACTGAGGTACCTGATTCATATTTGGGTCCTTTCATTTTAGGACAATAGAGAGAATATACAGCCAATATCATATTAATGATATTTATTCTTAATTTATATTATCCTAGCATAGAAGCATACATTAAAGATTAATACATCATAATATCTAAGCGTGGTATAATAGATATGAGAACAGTGAGTGAATGTATAATTTCATAATTTACCTATTAAATTATGGAATTTAAATGTTGTGTTTTTTAGTTTTTTAATATATCAATACGACAAAACGTATCAAATAAATAGATAAGTGTAAAGTCGAAAATTTTTTTTTTTAAGGGGCCTCCATTGGTAGTTGCACCCCGGCCCCCTGAGACTTAGATCCGGCACTGACGATACTACGATCGATCAACTGCAATTATAGTGGTATAGTAAATATAAGACTGCCGAGACTATAGTGCTGTACGCATGTACATTTCGTATGACCAAGAAAAACTGATTACCTACTTAATAAATACTATTAATACAATTATTTGGTGTAGAATCTACATATTATACATGAAAAAAAAAATAATAATCCAATAATATTGTAATAATGCACTCTGTCACTTATTGATGTATGCTGTGTTGAGGCTGCCGTGGACCACCGACATGAGTATCGTGGACCCCCAAGGGGCCTCGGACCACAGGTTAAGAACCACCGTTATATACGATTAATTTTGAGGTTTTTCCATTTGTAATCTGATTTCTGTATCAAATTTGTCGATTTGTTGTGATAGATATTTAACTAAAAGTAATTTAAGCATTTAACTTCTCATATTATCCAACTGATTTATATAAAATAAATTAATGGTATAATATTTTTTAAAAACTACATGAGAAATTGAAAGAATATCCAATGTTGTAAAAATTTAAGTGCTATAATATCCCAACCTTAATTATTACTTATATTTATATCACCCCCTTGTATTAAATAACCTGCTATTAATAGGAGATTTCAGAGTTCTTTCATTCCTGGAGAGTGGAGACCCACTCAGACATTTCAAATGAGAATAGTGTGGTGACCTTCTTGACCTATCCACATAAAACAGACTGTTCACTATCAATAAAAAAAAAATGGTGAATAGTGAAAAATAAATTTGACTAAAAGAAAAATATATCTTATAAATAAGTATAATTAAGTTATAATTAATGAAATATACTCTTTGATTGTAAACTGCCCAATTTCAAGAAAATGTACCAAAAATGTTGCAAAAGTACTATGGTAACCAACAATACATGGCGTGTACCAACTTCTTAATTTTATATTTATGCGTGTACCCTTAACGAAAATTGTGGTACACAGGTTAGGCATAGCCCCCCAAGTTACAATGATAAGGCATTCACCCATAAACATTTTTAGGTCTACATCACTGTTCATAAGTTTAAATTTAATAATAGGTCAATTCACTATTACTATAAAAATTAACACAAAAAAAATTCTACAAACACAATTTTTTTTTTTGTTATTTACTGTTTTAACTGACTATGCCGCAGGGATAACTTTCATATTCTTATGCGATTTTATACATTTATAAGATGGAACAAATACATACTACTATAAAATTAAAATACAGTTTTTCACATTTAAAAAAAAAAATACATACTATGTATTTCTACTTTACGTTAATCGCCAATTGTTATTAAGTAGCTTCAATACAAAACAAGGTTTTAAATATATTTTTCGTAATTTACCTATACAATCTTTTTCGTGATAAATGGTTATATACTATATATATTTGAATTTTTACTAGAAATACCATACATCTTTGATAACTAGCGACAAGCTTAATATTGTATTAATTTAAGTTAAAAAAAAAAAAAAATCCTTATGATCCCATGATCACAACTACATTCTTCAAAAGTTACAACACTGTTTTCAATATACCATCAATTTCAAAGAGAAATAGTGAATTTAAAGAGCAGAGCATTCACAAGTTTTTGCACATCATTAATGTCAATAATAAACCGATAATAAAATTATAACACAAACACTCGTCCATAAAATTTTAATACATTTTGCCATTATTCAAAATGGTTTATGTTTTCTTTTCTTTCTTATTAGTTTTCAATGTTTCTTCTACATCGCTGTTTTTCTTCTTATCTGCCAACTTGCATTGATTATACACATTGTTCAAATCAAAAACTGCTTTGAAATTAGGCTGAAACATAGAAAAATGTATTTATTATCTTGTATTGAAAATAAATATACTAATAATATGCATACCTCTGTAAAAAAAAATTTAAATATTTTTCCTTTACTATCATATGTTGGTCTCCTAAGTTCTTCTACTCCGTTTTTAAACATGATTACAGTTGGCAATTGTCGACTTAAAGATGAATCACTAATATTATATTTACTAGCAGCATCAGGATATCGACTTATATCTATTTTTCCAAATTTAAGATATTTTGTATCATACCTGAAATATATTTTTGTTTCAACTTTATTCACACATAAAAATAAAATAAATAAAAAGTATACTAATAAATTAATTTGGTACTTGTAAACATTATATTATGTTTGCAATACTTAAATGCTATCAAAATCACTAAATAATGTAAATCTTTTACCATTTTTAGATTATTTATCATGCACCAAAACATAAAAATATTTCTTATAGGAACCAATAATTAAATGTATAAAAATATTTTTAATAAATTTAAGGAATATTAAAACAATTAATATAAATTATTTCACATATATAGTTACAAAGCTAATTAAAATTATATGATAATATTCAAATTCAATGCACAACAATGGTATTCTGGAATAAATACAAGAAGATCTCTATGATATGATATGATCGCTCCTCGATGCTGTTATAAAGATTCTTTTTAATTTATATTAGTTAGTACACAAAATATGTATATATAATACATTATGATCTCAACAGTATCAATAATACTGTACAAAAAATACTTTTATGTATTACTGATAGTACACAGAAACTAGAAAGCTCATAACTGGTACACAAATTTGATTTTTAATATTAAACATTATATTGTACTTTCAAATGATATGTAAACATCTTCAAGAAGTGTAGGGGAAACTGGGATATAAAATGGTTCAAAATTGTTCCTTTGTAATATTTCTTCTATCATCTACCTATGTTAAAAAAATATTACCATTTTTATTTGTAATAGTAAATTTGTCATTAAGATCGAATTTTCACAAAATGTATCAAATTTAAAATTGAATAATTATTTTGTAGTTAAAAATTTATAAAATGTTCAACTTTTATATCTAAGGATTGAAAATTTAAAACAAGATTCCAAGTAAGTAGTATGCATTGTATAACCATATACTCCATACAGTATAGGAGTATAGGACTGTACTAGTATTTATGATATTTCATATGCTATGTATACATATATTACATTTTTTTTTTTCATAATCAATACATACTCAACAGATAACTGTGAAAATATTGGAGCAAAATTGGCACACGTAGGATTCCATACAGTATAAAAACAAACAAGCCATACAGTATGCTGTTTATTTTCTTTTAGAGCTTCTTCTAAAGTGGCCAATGATCTGAAGTACAGCACATTTTCTGGACCTGAATATGTTGGCTCTGGTAGACATATGCTTACAACTATAAATTTAAAATTAAATAATAATTTAACAATCATTACTTTCATGTGCAAGTTAAATTTTGATACATGGTAATATTATAATACAATAATAATATTTATGTAGATTCACTGACTATAACTCAAGAAATCAATAATACAATGTTTTGTCGTTAAATCTGATTAAATAGGTATTATGATTGGTAAAAATATATAGATAAGTTATAAAAAACAGCATAAATGTAGGTAATATGCAAAGAAAATTAATAAAAAAAAACCGGCCAAGTGCGAGTCTGACTAGGGCACGAAGGGTTCCGTACCATCATCAGCTATGTTAGTAACACTGCTTATATTATATATTCTAGGATTTTTAGTATTGAGTAGAAGTAATGTAAAAGCGGTTCCTCTTCCGTCCCTCGAATAACTCGAAAAAAAAAAGTATTTTTAGTATTTGTTGTTATAGCATCCACGGAAATACATAATCTGTAAAAATTTCAACTTTCTAACTTTCATAGTTCATGAGATACAGCCTGGTGACAGACGGACGGGCTGACCGCAGAGCCTTAATAATAGGCTTCCGTTTTACAGTACGGAACCCTAAAATTGAGGGTATAGCTTATTTCAAAAATTGATTGCATCAAACGTTGGGAGATATTTTATTAGTTTTCAATATTTTTTTAAAAATTGGTAGGTACACTGATTTTTCATAGCAAACTAGCTCTTATGAAAAAAAAAAAATATAAAACTGCATACCAATAATAATAGCAGTGAAGAATAAACCAAAACGAACATCTGCATAAAACCACAATAATAAATTACATACCAATAATAATAGCAGTGAAGAATAAACCAAAACGAACATCTGCATAGAACCACAATAATAAATTTGCTCCTTTGGTGTACAAGAAACTAGATGAGAGATAAGCTAACATAGTGACACTTCCAGCTTTTCTTGTCCGAATCATTACAACAATCATGAGGAATAGTAATATTTCCAATTCTTTCTGTAAGTAACAAATTAAGAGTTAATTTCTAAATGATGCAAAGTTGAAAACAATAATCTTCTATTGGGTGTTCAACGAATAAGTTACTTACAGCGTCTAATTCGCAAGTCTTTTCAGTCGGCGAGAATATATACTGACAAAAAATGTCCGTCTTTTTGCAAAACACGTACGAACAAGTGAGAATTATGTTAACCCAATAATAAGGTTTTAGTAAGAGAATCAACTCTTTCTTTTGAATCACCATTGTAAATAAGCAATGGCTTTTTGCACTCCTATAAAAGCAATTCGATAATATAGATGAAGTTCGTTATTGTTTATCGAAATATGAATTGATATTAACCGACGTAAAGCAAAGCAAAGAAACGAATTTTGTTTCTATTTGACTATTTGCATAATATGCATTATTGATATTTAATAACACGATTTCATATTATCACGAATAATACAGCCATACAGCAATCAGCTGGTTTTGATTTTAAAATTTTGTGCAAAGGCAAAAAATAACAATTTTTTATTTAATATTTTAATACGTATTTATTCGTCATAAACATTACAATTTAGATCCTAAATACTAAATGCAGATCGTAAATATTTTTATATGTGATCGATGATCTATTTTGTAAAAATTTTGGTAACCAGACCCCTCCAGTCACCACACCAAACATGGTTTATTATGATAGTACGCTCTTTTATCTATATATTCTTATCACTTATAGCCTTATAGCATTGATTAAATTTAATATTTAATCAATGTTTATAGGTATCAAATATTCTTTTAAAACTTAAAAGTATCGACTAATGACTATCGACAGATCGGACAGATTTCAGACTTTCAGAGACACAGTCAAGAACTCATGAGTCAAGAGCCTAGAACACAACTTACCAGATCTAACTTTACCGAGATATAATAATATATTATAATATTATAATCAATATATTTTTGAATTAAGTGCATTAAAACTGAAAAAAGTTCATAATAATGTAATATTACAATTTATTATCCAACTAGTTAAGGTATTTACTTAATTATTTGGCCTAGGTATTTAATAGTATTTACTAAATTACATAATCATAAAAATTCACTAGGATATTTGAATTTATATAGACTGGTATATCTATTATACATTATATACTTATATTCATAGGCGCAAATAGACAAATTATTTTGGGAGGACTAAAGCCCCTCCTATAATATTTTCTAAAAATTATATATGCTCAGTACTAATTACTGACTTTGAACTGGAGGGACTTGGCAGAAATATGGGGGGACAAAGTCCCCCAAGCCCCTACCTATTTGCGCCATTGCTTATATTATGTGTTGTTGCGGACTCACTCATTTAACCACTTATTACTATTAGAATATAATTTAATATTTTAGTTCCCACTTTTTTTACAAAAGATTTCAATTTCGGTATGATAAACAAATCAGACATACCAAATATTAGTATCCGCCGCCATTTACAAAGTTTGGAAAAGTACAAAACCCATTAAACTGGAAGTGTAATTTTCCTCCTTCTTACCAAGGATAATAAATTAAGGATGTTAATTAAGGCTGTTACCTTAGTCATGTTATACAAACAATAAAGAGGATATTTTGGAACAATCCATAATTGATGACACCATTGCTCGGACAGTTAAATATTAGTACAAATCTCCAGAAGACATCAAATAGGCCCACTACTTTTCTTCAACAATATTTGCGATAGAGAGCCAGTAATACTTTTCTGGAATGGATATGCAGACATAACTATAATTAAGTGATTACTGTTAGGGGAATAATTTAATGTTTTAATATAACTGCTAATAGTGATAAGGATAATGAATTTAACATAAAATTAGTAGATTTAAAAAGAAAGAAATTATTATATTCAGCATACATAGGAACAATGAATAAAAGTGGCAGGGTTTTAAATTTATTAGAGTGGCACATGGATTAGTCTGTAATTTATATCATTGTATCACTCATCGTCATAGTTCAGTGGTCAGTGCCCGATATTAAATTAACCAATTATATTTTTAATTACATTTTATCAAAAATTATTACAATTAAGGTGAATAAGATATGTAAAATAATACAAAAAAAAGAAAAAAATATAAAATATAATTATTTATATTATATACTTACTCAAATATCACTAACACTTAATATTATATAATGTTGTTTATGGGAAAACATGAAATAGAAATTATAAAGGACATATTTCATACAATTAATAATTGTTATAAAAAAAAAGTGTCATGAAATTAACTAATTTGTAAATGTAAATGTAAACCACAATTAAAAATATTTAAATATTTTCACATTATACTCGTCATCACTGGATGTCTGGATCGCTGACATAAATTTATAATATAAAAATATATCACTATTAGGTTTTATTTTTATCCTTAAAATTGTAATAACATAAATAAACAAATTAATATGTATTCAGAATTTAAATATTAAAATTAAAATTATACATTCCCTATTAAGATATAAAATTGGAGAGGTGAAAATAGAATATTCCCAGGAATTTTCATAAGCTTCAAAAAAAAAAAAAAATTGAAAAACAAGGATTTTTACGCAAAACCTGTTTTCTTAGTTTAACTAAAAGACCAACAACTGTTAAATTACTTTAAATTTTCACTGGATGTTTAAATTACCATTTTCTATTAACCATTAATATTTCAAAATATTTCTACTCTTTTTGAGCTACCAATACTTAATAGCCAATAAGCATAAGAAAATCTTGATTTTTATTGGTTTTTTTAAATTATTGTCAATAAAAATTTTCTCTGACCAAAATACTTGAAATTTTAGTACAATGTTCCTCATAAGTTGTTATTAATGGAAATAAAAGTTAAAAATTATAAAATTTTATATTTGTACAGCTATAAGGATTGAAAATTTAAAATAAGGATTTTCATAAATAGTTAATACCTACTGTGGTCTGTAACCAACAAATCTTAAAAATATATACACAGCGTATTATCTTTTACATGAATGTTAAGTTAAAATTTGGACGAAAATACATAATATTAAAAGCAAGAATAAGGTTATTTTGTTGTAATTTAAAAAAATTATTTGTGGGTGCTTATGATACTTTTATAGAGTTTGCTTATAGTATTTTATTATTTTATTGTAAAAATACAATGACATTTTCAAATGTAATTTTTTTAGCAAAAAATGAATTTAACCTATTGTTGTATTAATGCCTAATAGTAAAATAAATTACTTTAATCACAATAATATCATCAACTATACAGGTAGTAATATTATAGGCTAACAGACCGCCTTTGCTCAGAATCGTTTTTCATATACCTACAATGATTTTATATCATAGATTCTGAGCGGAGAATCCGAGATGAATGTGCCTATTGGTTTTACAACAATGTGTGTTTTTATTGTTTTTTGTTTTTTAATTTTTTTCAATTTCTATTTGTGTCTGTCATCTTTTAGCAAGGCTGGGCAAGTTAATGATATTTTTTAACTCAGTTAAGTTAAGTTCATTATTATTTTCTCAATTAAATTAAAAATTAAGTTAACAGACATTTTTAATACATCAATTAAGTTTAAAATTAAGTTGACAAATACCATTAACTTAACTTAACTTCAAGTAATAAGTTAATTGGTTTTTATCTTTAAACATAAATACGAAGTTCTTTGTAAATATATCTTATTTTTTTCTGATAATATTTACTATAGGTATTCTGCTAATATAATATAATACCTAATTATTATAAACCGAAAATCCGTAATAAACAAAATATGTTTCTGGATAACAGAAATATTCAAAATTAACTTAATTGGGAAAATAAAGAAAAATATGAGTTCATATTAAGTTAATGTAGAGGCAAATGACTAATGAGTTAAGTTAAAATTAAGTTACCATAGGGAATTAAAAATATAGTTTAATTAATTTCTTGTTCCATTAACTAGAATTTTATTCTTCAAGAAAAATAACTGAATTAAATAAATATAGATAATATATCAATAAGCAATAGCCAAATATATTATAACATATAGGTGTATCGTATTCGTATATAAAATTATATAAAGATATACCATACTATACTGCGGCTTAAGGGCATATTGTAAAAATAATAATTAATAAATACTCATGACTAATAAGTAATATAATATTATTTTTATTTAATTTTATTGATAAACATAGTTACAAATCAAAAATGTACAATTCTCAAGAACATATTATTGTAAAATATTTTCTGCATGAATAGGTTATTTTTAAATTAAAACTAATTGGGTTATACTCATGTATATTTATATTTCAAATGTTTATAATTATAAACAGTCAATATTGTCGGTAGACAAAATAGTCATAGGTTCACTTTTCGTTCTCTGCTTTCTCAGCACGCAAGGTAGTGTTACATTTAGTGTAACTATGATGTGATTATCAGTGTCCAGTGAAATACGTTTATTTTTTTTGATTAAATTATTAAATTATAGAATTTATAATTTATAATTATCTCAATACATTCAGTCTACACTAACTGGAGACTTGGTTTGTGTAATATGTTGGTATAATACTTATCTGTATTAATAAATCAAAAGATTGTATTTGTTTCGGCATTTTCAATTTTGTATGCTTTTCGTACCTACTACATAATTCTATTAATTCAGTATCTATGTATAGAAAAGCTTTTGGCTATTTCATCCTGTGTTCGCAATAACATTTATGATTTTTATTAATTTAAACCATATTACTGGGTATTTACATAGATATTATAAAGAAAAAAAATAACTTAACTTAACTTAAGTTAGGTAATAAGTTAATTGAAAATGTACATATAACTCCAAATTTAAATTTAAAATGACTATAAAAATAAACTGTGCTTATGTATTTTTTAGATATTTTGGTAACATAATAAACTACATACATGGAATATTGTTTTAAATTTTCAATCCTTAGATATAAAAGTTCAACATTTTATACATTTTTAACTACAAAATAACTATTCAATTTTAAATTTGATAAATTTTGTCAAAACTAGATCTTAAAATGCTTATAGAAAAAAAATGTCGCCTATGCATTTTTAATGTTTTCCAACTGCTATTGTAACAATATATCAGGAGCCTTGTATTAAATTTTTACATTTTTTGGCCCTACAGATAAAACTTTATTGATATTCATAGAAAAAAAAAAAAAAATTGAAATATGAAATTGTCCGTAAACAACTCAAAACAAGTCAACATATTTTGAAAATTTTATCAAGTATAAGAATTGATAAAATGCATATTCAGTG